GGAACGTTTCGCATGAGCGCTTCGCCTACGTTGGCTATGGTTCCAATGGTGCCAAAAGGAAAGGGCATGGAACAAATTAGAACTACCGTGTGATGGTCGGGACATGGACTTCTTCACTGCATCGACGATAGTAACGATCGGCGATGGCAAAACGGCCAAATTTTGGACTTCATCGTGGGTGCAAGGAATGGCGCCTAAGAGCTTTGCGCCAACCTTATTCAAGAAAGCCAAGAGGAAGAACGTCACGGTGCAAAAGGCAATACAGGACAATAAGTGGATTTCTCACATCACCCCAATCCTCACAACCGCCGAAATTCAGGAGTACGTTCAACTGTGGAAGTTGTACAGCAAGTCCAGCTTGACGCTAGTAGGGAGGACAGTATAATATGGCGCTTGACGGTAGATGGAGAGTATACATCCAAGAGCGCATACCACATTCAATTTGAAGGGTCATACAACAAGCTACGGATCATGCCGATATGGAAGGCTAGGGCTGAGCCAAAATGCAGATTTTTCGCGTGGACGTTGCTACATAAGAAGATTCTCACGGCGAACAATTTGATAAAGATAAATTGGCCAAATGACCCTATATGCAAACTATGTGGAGTTGATCCAGAAAACCCCACGCATTTGTGCAAGGGTTGTCCCTTCTCAAAACAAGTATGGTCCATCTTGAAAACTTGGTTTGGGCTCTCAGCAATCGACACAGTGGGAGACAATGGGTCGCTCCATGGCTACTGGCGCAGATGCAGGCTACGGATAGATAAACCTCACAGGAGAAACTTTGATGGCCTCGTGATCTATTTTTGGTGGAACATATGGAAAGAGAGAAATAGAAGAACTTTCCAAAACAAAAGCTTGCAGCCAAGGGAGGTGGCATTCTTATGCAAGGAGGAGATCGATCAATTCCGGTTGGCCACAAGACCAAATGCAGAAGCTCATCGGTAGCATTTATTTTTTCCTCTGTTCCCTTTCTCTTTAAGAGTTTCTACAGGTTTTGTTTTCTTTTCTCAGTAGAATGGTTTGGTCTATACGCCTTAGTAGAGTTGAGTCTATTGTTGAGGTTGTAAAAACGTTGTAACACCTTTTTTTCCTTTCTATCGTCTAATAAAAATCCAGGAAAAGCTTTTTGCCGCCTTTCGGAAAAAAAACCATGAGAATTGGAAAATCACGTGAGCTGGGCGTGTTTGGTACAGTACAGGTCTGGTTTATTGGTACGCGAGGGAGTACAACATGCTCAGTGCCTAAGTGGCCAGTCCCTATCTGCTGGCTGCATGCAGCTGCACTGAGCGTCTGAGCCACTAACCCCGGGGCGGCTAGCTATAGCTAGGCTGCGATGCATCGCCATCTACAGTACTGGTGCACTGGTTGGATAGATAACTGGCATCATGTTTTAGTTGCTTCATGCTATTGTTCAGCCAGTTAAGCAATTTCCTCCGATCGATCACTATCTAAAAACTCCTAGTACATGTGTTTAGCTGCTTGTGTTCTAAGAGGCTGTTTGGTTGCCCACCAAAGCCTACCACGCCAGATGTGGCGCCGCCGAAGCCTTCTGGTTTCTGGCCATGGCTCGCCACGCCGCAACCACGGCAGCGCCCAAGGTTAGGCGACGAATTTCGGCACCACAGGTGTGGCGTGATTTTGTACTGGTAGTAGTAGTGGCAGCATAACAGGAACCAAGCAGCAGCTGCGGAACCGGTGGACGCCGCAATCTGTGGCGTGGCTTGGGGCGGCAGAGAACCAAACATCAGCCTAGCTCTCCGTGGCAGCCGCACGTGTGGCGTGGCGTATGTGGGCGGACAACAAAACAGCCCCTAAATCAAGTTTATTCTGGCCGTACTGGTTGTGGCTGGTTGGTGTGGTGGTCCGTTCATGTACATGTACACTGGACCGGGTTACGGATTACTACTGCTCCTTCGCAATAGCTGCAGATCGACACGGCTGCACCAGGCCTCGGGCCCAGTTTTTTTTCTCCAGATAGAGGACCTCTGGGCACAGTTCTTTCTGAACATGGACCACATGTTAGGTTGTGGCCCATTATGAATATCTTGGTCCAACAACTGAGAATACTGGCCTGAGCTCGTCACGGGCCGACGGGATACGCGACTAACTGGGCCCAAAATGTCAGCAGTTTGTCCCAGATCACACACAACAGCGAGCTGTATGCGACACAAGCCTGGCACCGGACAGAAGCTGGGAAAACCGGCTGCAGGCTCGCCTTCTCTCCCTGCCTGTTCAACGGAGCTAAGACTGCACGCTGAAACCGTCTAGGGTGCACTGCCAATGGCAGAATGCACCAGGACTTCAGAGCCAAGAATCTTCTGCGATCTCTTCTGTTCATGTCTAGCTGCTTCTGCTTACTCTGTCGCTGGTGCCGTGCAATCTGTTGACAACTCGAAGCTCAAAGTTCAGAGCTGGTACAGGTTTCATCAGATCATGACCGTGATCCAAAGCTACCCAGCGTGATCCACAGAAAGGTGTAGCAGCACTAAAAACACACACTTCATCCTGATGCTGATGCTGTTCATGGTAAACGCAATCATACAAGGAATATTAGCCCTTGTTTAGTTCCACCCTAACTTCCCAAAAATCTTCTTCTGATCTCTTCTGTTCATGTCGAATGTTTGCTTACTCTGTCGCTGGTGCATTAAATGTGACGAAAACTCGAAGCTAATTGCACAGTTTGGTACAGGTTTCTTCAGATCATGAACGTTTTGAGCCTAATTAGTCCATGTTTGAACACTATTTGCCAAATAAAAACGAACGTGCTACAGTAGCCCCAAAATCCAAATTTCTCCAATTAAACAAGGGCTTAGTACCAGCATCTTCAAACAGGGAATGCTGTGACTGTAACTAGCTATTCCTATTCGCATTACAATGAGAAGAAGAATTAAGATCAACTGATCAACAGATCAAGTGCATTACATACACGCAGAATCCATAGCTGGTCGATAATCCCAGCTCTACCTTTGTGTGTAGCAAACAGAAATCGATATTTACAAAAGGATCAAGCTTCTATACGAGTAATAACATGATTAAAAACAGCAGCAGCTCTGCCTCACACTAACACGGGAGACTGAAACTGAAATGGAGTCAGCTAACCTGCACTTAGAGAGAAACTGAAAACCGGTTCAGAGTTCAGACACCAATCCCCTCTCTGAATGTTCTCCTTGATCATTGTCTTCTTGCTAGCATGGCTTCAGCCTTAAGCCCCGAAACTGCTCCAACAACTGTAATTTCCTCTTGTAAGCGCTTTGCCTTGAGCTCCCAGCGCATGCCACCCAACTGACAGCCTTGTCATTCTTCAGTAGCACATCAGCCGTGGCATCTGCCTTCATATTGTCTGGTTAGCTCCGCAATGGCAAAAGACAAGTTTCCATTAACTCGAAGACAGAGAGTGGGCGCATACGTTGTTGAAGTTCTTTAGCTCTGCAAGCGGCTGTTTTCCAAAGTCGTTAACCACTGCAGAGTCTGAAAAAGAAGAGAAACAATTAGTTTCGAGAGGACAATTAGTTCTTTAGCTCTGCAAGCGGTGCAACAAACATTACTAGTATCAAGCCTTTTGGGACTGTGCATCTGTTCCACATTTCTATCTAGTAAGCTATTTTATTGTACAAGTATGTATGCTGAGAGAATGCAAAATGCATATATGTATACCGAGCTGAGAACAAATAGAGATGAGGAGAAGAAAAAGGAAAAGTGTAGGTCTTGTGAACCAATATAGTAAATAGTGGTGATATAACACGAGCACACGACAACATGTAATACGATTTTCCGAGAAAAAAAAAGGCATATAATCATGTACCAATATCTAAGCTGTGCAATTTTTGCAAGCAGAAGAAAATAAGTGTGGGTTCCTTCAAAAACGAACGTGTGCTCACACACCAGAGAGGAACAGAAATGTCTCACCTGGCCATCATTGTCTGCCCAATAGCCTTAAATTTTTAATATGTGAGACAAGGTGCCAATCCTCCCCCACCCCTTCCCTGCAACGCCTAAGCAGCTCAAGGTTGTAGCTTATAAATAATTCCTCAAGAGCAGTAAGGCGTTGTATGGAGCAGGGCAAGGATGTAAGGCCACCGCAGCTTTGGAGCCAGAGTTTTTGAAGTGCAGAGAGTTCGCCTAGCCACTCTGGAAGCTGGGTCAGCGCGCCACACATACACAAGTTGAGAGATTGAAGTGAGGTGAGGCGCTGCATGCTCTCGGGAAGACAAGTCAGGGAAGGCAAAGAAATTATGCTGAGGTGCTGGAGTGAGCAGAGTTCTCCTATTTGTTCAGGCAGCTGCTGGAGAGCATTACATGACTGTAAGTTCAGACGCTGTAGAGATTTCAGTTCCACAAGCCAGTCAGGCAGCACACGAAGATTAGCACAATGTGATATCCCCAGACTACGGAGGCTGGTGATGCATTGGATGCTCTCAGGTAAATGAGTAAGGTCTGTGCACATGTGTATGTGCAGGTTATGAAGGCCAGTGAGGTGCTGCAGCACCTCCCAACCAGATGATGATCCTATCAATCGACCAAGGTTTAGTCTCTTGAGGGGAGTACCCGTCACATCCACAATACAGGAGGAAGATGAAGACTCATCACCATGAGCATGAGCTGCATGACGATGATGTGCATGGAAGAAGCATCCTGAAGAAACCAACTGCCCATTGCTTCCTTCTAGTTTTAAACTCTGCAAAGACAGCGGAAAGTACGGCTTCACAACCAATTTCGGGCAGTCGCTTATTACTAGAGTGGATAGGTGAGGGAAACGACATTCCACTCCTTCCTCCCCAGTTGCGAAACCGCGTGTGGTCGTAAGCAGCTCCACCAACTTAGGCATTCCTCTGAGCTTAAAAGGATCTTTATCAGTGGCAATTCCACAAGTTCCCCCAGATGCTCCAAGTTTGGTAAGTTGTCCAATACTAGTTTGGTTAGATGGGAGCATTCAGGTGGATTTCTTTGCATTACGATATGCCTATCGTCGGCTAGACCACAAGAATCACTTTGCTTTGTCATCCAACGTGGCAATTGCGAACCCCGATAACCACAAATTCCCAGCTTCTCAATTTTTTGGGTGGTTCAAGACTGTTGAGCAAATGCAGGTCCTTCTCCATATTTAATGATAACTCTTCTTCCACATCATTAGGCTGAACCTCCCATCTTGAATACCAATCCAATGACAATTTCTGTATGCCATTCTTTTCCTTCAAATGAACCTTGTCTGTTTCACCTGGATCTTTCACATATTTAATGTTTTTAATTCGCAGTTCGCCATTTAACTTATCAAGACTTTCAAGCTCAGAGATCCTTGCATGCTTAGTACTGTCTCCAATAACAAACAAGCTCAACTGTTGTAAACGAGTTAGTTGCCCACAACCAGCTGGTAGTCCACACAATTTTTTGCATCTCTTCAGATTCAAAACTTTAAGGTTTCTTAAATTCCCAATACCTTCAGGCAATTCAACAAGGTCGAAACAATATCCAAGGTCCAATGATTCTAGATGACTCAAAGAAGTCATGCACTGAGGTAGGTTTCGGAGACTCCCGCAGCATTTTAAGGTGAGCGTTTGTAAGTTCCAAAGCTTCCCAAACGATTCTGATGGTGGAAGTTTTTGCAAATTACTGCATGTAACAATACTAAGGATCCTTAAATTTTTCACTTTTTCCAAGGAATTTGGTATATCTTTGATTCCACCACAATCTTCTAGGTATAAACTTTGAAGATTATCACAATCGCCAATAGATTGTGGCAAACTCTTGATACTCCAAACATCATTCAATTCTAGAGTTCTAAGCTTCTTAAGCTTACCGATAGTTTCAGGTACAACTGCAAGTCTTGTGCATTTTAACACATGAATGGCCTGCAAGTTCCTACAATGCGAAAGAGCTTCTGGGAGTGCCTCACAGTTAACATTGGATATTTCAAGATGTCCCATGTATTCAAACTTTGAAACAAACAGAGGCAATGAGTCAGCAGTTATATACTTCAATATAATAGTACGGACACAACACTGCTTGTCCATTGTCTTGTCGAATGTGAGGTCACGGCCAGAAACATAGAGTGCACGGACCTTGCCACATAATTTGTTGTCAAGCTTCCCAGTGCATGAAGTCAAAGATAGGTATCTGCATCTGTTTATTTGATCGTTTGTTTCTATCTCAGACACAAATTCATCCTGTAGAATTTGTCTAGCGAGATCATGAATCAGGTCATGCATTTTGCATCTTACTTCATCACTTGTGGACCAATCTTGGTCTGGATCCTGATCTTGAAGGAACCCCACTTTAAGAAGAGAATCAAAGTAGCCAATTCCAACATCTTCTGGTTGTCGAGCTTGGTTTGTCGGAACAAAGCCATGAGCTATCCATTGAGAAATCAAATGACGCCTGTTGATTACATAGCCTCTTGGAAAGATAGAGCAATATACAAAACAAGGTTTTAGATGATCCGGTAAATGAACAAAACTTAACCATAAGCACGCAGATACTCTATGTTCGTCATCCTGAACATCTAATAAATTACTATTGCTTATGGACTGCCATTCTTCAATTCCTTTCATTCCATGGAGGATTCCTGCAATAACTTTAATTGCAAGGGGCACCCCACCACATTTGTTCACAATCTCTATCCCGACCTGTAGGAATTCAGTGTCTAGAGCTTTCATGGCAATTCCAAAACATTGCTGGAACACTTTCCAGCTATCTTCTTTAGACAAGAATGGTAGGTCGTATGCATAACTAGAATCCACGGCTTCTGCAACTTTTCTACTACGAGTAGTGAGTAAAATACTACTGCCAGGTGCACCACTCTTTAAATGTACCATGAATCGCTCCCAGTCAACACGATCCTCTGTCCAAACGTCATCCAAGACAGCTAGGAACCTCTTTCCAGCTAACTTGTCTGAGATAGTTCTGCTCACATGCTGCAATGGGAGGTGCTCAGGCATGTCACCAGCAATAGCTTCAAACAACTTCTCCACAAGCTTTTCAACAACAAATTCTCTTGACACATGAACCCACAATAGAACTTCAAAATGGTTTACAATGTTACCATCATTAAACACTAGTTTTGCGAGAGTAGTTTTACCAGATCCACCTAGCCCAATGACTGAAACTATCTTTATTCTTTGTTGGCTATTAGTCTCTATCAGCTCAGATGTAATCTGATTCTTCTCTTGGTCCCTGCCAAATACTGATGTCTCGTCCACAATGGTATAGGATGGCACCTCTCCAATTGTCTTTCTTGTATGATGAACAGGATGATCCACAGGCATGCTATTTGCTATTGTGCTATAGTCACTCCTTCCTTTCACAATTGCATCAAATCTGCTCTTTATTGCCTTGATCTTGTGAGCTATCTTAAATTCAGACACAGCTGATTTAGGTTTTGTCAACAAGTATTTGACCATGGTATTCTTGCCACCAGTAACTTTTATGTCTTGTTTTTCAGCCTCGATGTGGAACTCATGGACTACATCTTCAGCATCATAAGCAGCTTCTTTCAATCTTTTGAGCCATTTAGATGATCGGCCATTTCGTATTGCTTTATCACCTACTGTATGCAACCAATCGTTGATCTCCTCAACTAGATCCTGGAGTTCCTGAATATCTTTGGCTACATCTGCTTTAGATCTGAACTCTTTGATTGCAAGAGGAGCTAACTTCGTCCCCACAATCTTCAATACAGCTGATACCAAGGCAACTTCCATCCCACCCATATTTATCGAAGTGTCTCCCTTGCGTGTACCCTGCAAATTAAATTTGCCAAGAGCTGCAACCTTAAAAAATTTTTTGTATAAATGAGCTACAATAATCTTTGCGTTAGAACTTATAACCACTGTAATTCGTTGCTACACACAGTGCGTATGCACCTGAATGCCTGATTATTTATTTATTTTCTCTGTTTGCACTCTGTTATATGTATGATTCATGCAGACAATGTTCTGGTGTCATAGAAATGGTGTGCATGAATTAGTGGGTGCTAATAGTGATAGACATCTGACCTGGGAAAACACCATTTAGACTTCACGCTCTTGAGATGTTTCTTTGCAAGCAAACTCCTATGTTCTTCTTGTTTCTAACATCACCAGGAAATTAACATGAATGAGATGAAACACAGGGTATGACACATACATGAAAGTCAGCTGTATAAGATAGAGGTTAATATACCGAAGCGCTGGCATCAGAGAAGAATAGATTAACTGTGTCGTTCTTGTACAGACTGATTGCCAGCCTCCTGTAAATAGAGTTCCCCTGAGAAGAGGCAGAAGGAAAGTAAATTTATCCACCAAAGAAAATAGCATATGCCAAGGAAGAAATTGATAAGCATGAAAAGAGCAACAAGGAAATGAAATTATTCTGGTTTTGAGGATACTAGATACCTTGGGATCTGATCAGATGACGTGTGCTGTGCAATCTCCAAATGTTTTTGTCCATGCAGATCGGAGCATGCGAGGCTTGGGTTGCCAAAACTTTCAAGGAATGCAACTCAGATTGCAGGTCTGCAGAGAACTTTCCGTAATTTTTGGTGCTTCAATGGCTTGTCACTGTCAATAAGAAATATTATCACCTATCGAGAAAGAGATGTGCACTTAAAATTGCCAGGTCTACTGTTAAAAAAGTAAAAACTGGACGGCCAAATGTCCCCATCGAACAGAGACTTGTACAAAAAAAAATGACACTAATGTTCCTTCGTTGCAATGCGGTTGCTAGTTGAATTACTTGCATTGAAAAGGATTGCCACCACTAGTGACTTAAAAACCTTTAAGGTACCACAAGCTGAGTTGGAAACCCATACTCAAAGCATACTATAAGTACCACTTGGAATTTGAATACTGCCATTACTGCATGCCTAGCTGAAAAATGTCACGGTTTTGAAGCCATCTTCAGGGTATGCGCAATAGGGACAATAGCAAGGATTTAGAACTAGGTGGAAAGTTGTGGGGACGTCTGCTATGAAATAGTTACCACCCATTTGACACCCTCTCAAAAAACTTGACAAAATTGCCACCCTCCAAACACTTTAGTGTCATGTCACCCAGCTTTTAGGATAAAGTAAGTGCTAAATCACCCAGCTTTAGTATAAAAGCTGGGTGATTTTGACCCAAAAACTGGGTGACATGGCACTAAAGTGTTGAGAGGGTGGCAATTTTGTGAAATCTTTTGGGAGGGTGTTAAATGGGTGATGGTTGTTTGGTAGTAGGGCAATTCCTGAAATTTCCCCATTTGCTGGACCTGGACCTTGGACTGCTCCATAAAAACTAGGCTCCCTCGTTGACACTTCAGTACTGGACACAATGATATTATCCATTCCTGTAAAGAAAAGAAGCGCATCAAAATTGTGCCTCCTCTCTATATTACTCCCTCTGTCCAGAAATGATAAAGATATTTTACGAGAGGAAAAATCATATAAATTAGACTTTGACCCCTAACTTCTCTTATAATATGTCAATATTATCTCATAGGCACTTTATGCACAAACATATTGATGCAACTTTTATAGACCATATAAACATGCAAAAATTGCCTAATTGTTGGTTAAACTTTGGGGAAAATATGACTTTTTCTCTGATTGCAAGTTCGAGTACAAGCCTGCTAGCATCCGTAAATGAGGGAGTAAGTCTGAACGACATACTTGTTTGACTGCAACCCAAACGTACCCTGCGGCCATGCTCGTGCCCAACCTTGCGGAGGGGGAGGTGGACTAGCTGCCACCCGTCAGCAAATTGATGCGCCTGGTTCTCCTGCATCAGCGCCAAGAAGTGCTAGAGCCACACCAGCTCTGCGTCGAACACCTCGGCCGCCCCTCTCCTTAAAATGTTGTTGGAGACATTGTCGCAAACAGTTGGTGGGCACGCGCCGTGGCGTGTCCCGGCCACCTCGCCGTGGCTCTGGTAACTAAGAGCATGTCGACAACTACAAGCACCTCACTGTAGCGGTCCTAACTACGCTGGCGGCACCGGCGAGCTTCGGACAGAGTTTTGCGTCGCTGGCAGGCGGCAGCGACGGCTTGGGAAAGAAGAACAGCTTCGATAATCGTTGCCTCTCCCCAGGAGTCAGGACAGTGAATGCATTATTACATGGTCCAGCTGCGTGGACTCAAATGGATTCGGGTCATGGCCCATTTACTAGAAATCCACATGCCGCTCATGGGCTAAGTGGTAATGGACAGACTCCCACTGTGCAGATCATGGGCTGGATGGTGGTTCCTTCTATTACATGGGCTAAGTGTACAGACTCCCTGTGCCTAGACAATTTTTTTGCAGAGAGCTTACCACTGAATATTTCCAAGCCAATATTTCATCTACAGTTACTGTGATAAAGAGGCACAATCTTCATGACACAAGAACTGAAATCAGAATTTTGATGGCCACTAAAAGGTATGCCATTCTACAATGAACCTCTGAAGGTTAAGTGGTATGCAGACTGCAGAGCTGACAGCAATAGTTTCTCTAAAGAAGACTGCTTACTTTTGTTAGATGTATATACATGTATGTGTATTTACCTACATTATAGGGTGCTCTCTGAAGTTTTTACATACTACTTCCTCTTTGGGGCTTTGGAATACACTGAGTTACATTCTCTAACAACATTCAGAAGGCAACCAAAATGCACCAATTTAACAGCAGACGGTAATTGCAGCAAAATAGCATCCTCAATATACAGCATGTGTGCTATGAACAAATAAAAAGATGGTAAAAATAGAGTTCCGGATTTCAAATGGTATCGGAAACAACCCAAGTGATGGAACGTGAATATCTTTTTCAGACGACGAAAAATGCTTGTACAGTAGTGCGTGCTCACAATACAATTTGTTTCCTCATGTTCCTAGGCTGAAAGTTTGTTCCTCTCGCCCTGCATTGCTCCCCGTAAGCTGCCTATTCCCAGATGTAGAAACGTTGTATTCCCTTAAGGCCTCAATCTGTTGAGCAACTTCTGACATTGTTAGTCTCAATGTGGGGTTCTTGTCACAGCAATGAATTGCAAGTTTGAGAAACTGAACCAGCTCCTCTTCTACCGCAGTGTTTTTTGTAAGGAGCTTCTCATCGAATGCTTCCGATACCCACTCCTCACGGATGAGTGCTAAAACCCATTCGAGCAAATCTGGCTTGAGTTCTGGTGACTTGCCTGTGAGCATCTCAAGCTGTGTAATGTTGTTGTCGATAACTAGTGTTGGGTCACTGACAAGAGTTTTGAGGCCGTGTTCTGAGACCCGTGCCTCATAGCTCCACCCTGTAAGAAGAATGTTGGAGGAGTTGAGGTCGCCATGGGACGCTGCAGCAGCATTGGTTGAGTGGATGAACGTAACAGCACGAGCTACAGATAGTGCAATGGCTGACCGAGTCTCCCAGCCTACCGGCACCAAAGGATGATGATGTCTACAGGACGAGCTACAGATATGATTTCCTGGAAAAAGTTATTCCAGTGTGAATAAAGCATAATCTTCAAAGTACAATCGTGGCATAACATAAACTAGACAGACAATATTTTGTAACAGAACCTTTTGCTGAAAACAAATTCATTATGTAATAGACGCAAATTTTCTTGATGATTTTTATTATGAATCTTGACATGACCTACTGCATAATTATAAAAACCAAAGCCTATTTTTGTGGATTCAACTCATGAACAGTATATTACCATGAAGAATTGAAGCTAGGCTAATATTGGGAAAATAATCATACACCAGTATCTTCTGATCCTTCCTATAGTAGTAATGTCGTAGTGGGACTACAAGCTCATGCTCAATTGTTCCTATTGCTGCTATTCGTTCCTTGAACACTGCCTCTGGCACAGGTAGTATCTATAGTGTTCTTCAGTCTCTTTACAGTTAACGTGAAACCATCATCCAGTACAGCCTTGTAAGTCGATGCATATTTGCCTCTCCCTAAGAACCTCGCAAGATGCTTCCAACAGCTTTTGTAATTCTATCCCTTGCGATGAACCAAAGCTGTAAAGTCTTGGACTCCCTTCTCTCACCACTGTAACATTGTGCACATCTCTATCCACTTCACTGGCTTTCTGCGCTTGTACCTCTGCTTTGAGAACTTGATTTCCATGTAAGTGTTTGTCAGTAGGAACCATATTTTGGGGTGGTTGTTTGCTTCTCCGTACCCAGCCAAACAAAAGTATTTTCTCTTGTGACTGATATTGAGCTTTTCTAAACATCCGAAGGCTTTCTGCAACATCTTTCATTTCTGGACGTTTCTCTAGGTCCATTGCTAAGCATTTTGCTGCTAGCTTCCCAATTCCATCAAGAATCCTCAAATTGTTCTCATCTGCAACTTTTACATCATAAAATTCCCGTATCTTCTTTCGTTTTGCTAGAGCTTGAGTAAAGTTTTCAATAAGGTTAATTTTACCATCATCGACAGCCTTTCTTCTAGTAATCAGTTCCAAGAGAACAACTCCAAAACTATAAACATCAATCTTTGAGGTGAGACGCCCGTTTCGAGCAAACAAAGGATCCATATACCCAATACTCCCTATTACATGTGAGGTGTATAAGGTATTATCCGTTGAAAGTAACTTTGATATCCCAAAGTCTGATATTTTTGCATTGAGGTTGTCATCAGAAGTATGTTGGCAGGCTTAATGTCTCCATGGATGACTTGCCCATACATTTGTGAATGCATATAGTTTAAAGCTTCTGCACACCCTATAGCAATATCCAATCGTGTTTCCAAAGATATGGAAATTTCACTGCAGTGAAGAATGTCACTGAGGTTTCCTCTAGAGATATATTCAGTCACTATCATTAGTGCATCTTCACCGATACAACAACCAATGAGTCTAACTACATTCTGGTGATTGATTTCGCAATGGACAATCACTTCTTTGGCAAAGTTCTCCTTTACATTATGGATGTACCTCTTTACAGCAACTGAACTGTTATCATCAAGAACCCTTTATAAACTTCTCCAAATCACCCTTTCCCAAGGAGAGTGTCATAGTTGTTAGTGATTATTCTTATTTCTTCTTCTTTGAAATACCTTATGTTGTGATTGTTATGTGCTGTCCACATTGGTTTGCCATTACCCTCAATGTATCCTCGTAGCTCATTTTCAGGCAGATCCATGTTATTCCAGTAGTAAAAACACCGACTATAGAAATCTTGATAACATCTGATACAGAAGAGATGATAATTATCACCTGAAAGGCACATAATGCAGGAAAGAGTTACAGACCAGTACTTCAAAGGAAACAAATTGATATAGTACTTGCACCCATGAAACATCTTAAATAAACTTCATAATGTATTTTTCTAGGGGACTCTAAGGATACACTTGCAGAGATTTCAAATTTTACATAGTCCTCAATTGCTAAGAAGTTTGACAACTGAATAAAATATTGGATAATTATCAAACAGGTTATTTTCTAGTAGAATTAAGATGTCAATTTCCAGTTACAATCAAGAGCAGTTGACATTGTAAAATGGTAGGAAATAAAGCATAACCAGTATAATAGTATGACAGAATGAGTCGGTTTGAAGAGAATAAATTGGGCTTCACCAATGCAAGGATCCAAAGTGGGCCTCAAGTCGAAACAACTCTGTAGAGTTGAATCCTAGGATTCAAGGACTAGACATTAATTAAACTAGCTTAAATGCAATATTTGAGCTTCAAGAATGCTTTCCGTATCAAGAGAGTTCTACTACAGAACTGAACTCTCCTTGGTTGTTCTATGGAGGAATATAATGTGGGTGGAATTAAACTTGCTACTCCCTTTGTCCTAGGGCAAAAATGCAATTCTAGCTACAGTACTAAGTCAAACCATCTTCGGTTTGACAAACTTTGTACAAAAAAAATTATGATATCAAATAAGGCCATGTTTGGGAGAGCGTTTTTGAGTCTCGCTTATAAGCTGAGCAGGCTTATCTGATAAGTCACGATCTGGAGAATCTGCTGTCTGAAAAAGCTGGGCGTTTGGCTGTCCTGATTATTTCTGGTAGATTATCTGTTCTTGATGTAAATTGACCTATGTACCCCTGAGGCTGATGATACCTCTTTTGGTTCGTCACAATGATCTGAAGGCAATGGTGGGAATATTTTTAAAGTTTGAGATAGCAATATGGTTCCATTAAGTTGCAATGTAAAATAATAGTCGAAAATAACATCCATTTGGGTAATGTAATTGCTACAAAATACTTAAGTTTCTAACAATGAATCACCCAACCAACGCATTAGCAATAGCATCACGGAAAGCACACATGTTCATATCATCCGCCGAACCACCACCATCAGCTGAAGGAACTTGGGACCCAACACCACTACTGTCTTCCACATAGGTTTCAAAATGTTCATCATATATGGCATTGTCTCTAATGAAATTATGAAGAGCCATGCAAGCAACGATAATCTTTGATTGCTTCTCAATATGGAGCATAACAGAGCAAAGTGTTGTTACAGCCTACAGAACCAAACTGCATTTTGCAAACAACAAACAAAGCACTGCAATCCTGCTACGCCAAATTACACAACAAGCAGTGAGCCATAGTTTCAGACAAATGATGCATTTTCAGCAAGCAATGGCACTAGCAGTATCTGGAAAAAAAAATAATAACAAAAAAACTTTTAGCGGTTCCATACAACAAGCTCTGGTGCCATCTACTCTTGCTTCCATGCTGCAGCATTTTTATTAGAAGTGAAAGCAAGGACACCAGTCTTGTGTGCTCACCTTGCTGGACGGGAGCCGGCGGTGGGGATGGGAGGGCAGCAGGCGGTGGAGGCCGTCGAGGACGTTGAGGTCGGAGATCCGGAGCCCTTGCTGCAGAAACGTCGGAGGGTAGAGGAGGGAAGCCGGCGCCCTTGCTGGAGCTCCGGCGGAGGGGAGGGGAGGCGAGCCGGCGCCCTTGCTGTAGATCCGAAGGAGGGGAGGGGAGGGCCGCCGCCGCCCTGGATGGAGATCCGGCAGAGGGGGAGGGGAGAGCCACTGACGCCCTGGATGGAGATCCGGTGGAGGGGGAGGGGAGAGCCCCGCTGACGCCCTGGATGGAGATCCGGTGGAGGGGGAGGGGAGAGCCGCTGACGCCCTGGATGGAGATCCGGTGGAGGTGGAGGAGAGGGCCGCCGACGCCCTTCCTTCAGATCCGGCGGGGGAGGGAGGCGAGCCGAGAGAAGAGGAGGCGAGGACCGGGCCGGAGGGGAATGGGAGGGGCGGCGGAGAGGTAGGCGGCGGCAGTGAGGGCCGTGCGCTCCGGGACCGCTCGGGTCGGGAGGGAGGGGCAGGGAGAGGAACGCACTCGCGATCTTGGAAACGCGGAGTCGAGCTCGCGATTTGGGAAACGTTGCGGGCGACCGTGAGCGGACGCACGTTTGCGACCAGGCCCGTATCGCAAGGCGTTTTTACGAGATTATTGGCTTATTTGGCTCAAAAGCTGAGCAAACGCTCTCCCAAACAGAACTAAGTATCATTAGATTCATTACGAAATATATTTTCCTAGTATATCTAATTGGAATGGAATATATTTTTCTAGTATACTTATTTGGAATCATAACTGTTGAAACTATTTTCTATAAACTTAGTAAAACTTGAATAGTTTGACTCAGACCATATCTAGAATTTGCATTCTTTTTGGGACCGTGGTAGTAAATCAAAGGAAGGTGTTTCTAATTTAGGGGGTTACTCTAGAGTATTTTTGATAGTGACAGAGGTGGATAACTTTTTAGATAGAATACATAATAGATTCAATGGCTATCGAATAGATGGCTCATGGCTGGATGTTTCTATTCTTTTGCAAGAATTTCTAAGATTTATCCCTTTTTCTAGCTGGTCTCATAAGCTTTAGCGTGGAGGCTCCGAAGGAAGTCTCTAATTAGTAATAGTAAGAAACACGTTGATTTCATGGATTATTTATTTAATTATCCTGTTGATGCTAACTTGCTATCATGTATGATTCATGCCGGCAACAATCTCATGGCATGGATATGGATGTGCAAGATTGGTGGGAGGTAGTATTCACAGCATCTGACCTTGGAAAAATTGGGCTTCTTTTGTGATCCTGAAGTATTTCTCTGCAAGCAACTCTTATTGAGCAACGTGCGTGAGATCGAGGAAACACAGGATATGCTATATACATGCAAATGAGCTATTTAAAGGTTAGGAACATACCAAAGCCTCTGACAGACTGACAGGGAAGAATGAAGAAAAAGAAGTTATGTCCTTCTTCTACTGGTCGTGTGTTCAACCTTCAGTACATATAGAGTCCCACTTAGAAGAGGCAGAAAAATAGACAGGACAAACTTTTGGGCTCCTAAAGTGCTTCTTTCCAAGCAAACTCCTCTATTCTTGTTGTTTCTAACATCAACAGGAAGCAATATGCATGTGAGAGGAAAGGAAAGCTGTGACAGTTACATGAAAATGTACTTTCGAAAGATAGAGAAACTGACATACCAAAGCCTCTAGAACAGAAGGATAAAAATCTATGTTATTTTTTACTGATTGGGTCTTCCGTACGTCGTAAAGTCCTCCTAGAGAAGAGGCAAAAACGAATGTAAATTTACTTGCTGAAGGAAAAGGCTGATGCCAGAGAAAGAACAGACGCGCATGACCTGAGCAAAAACCAAATAAATGAAGAGGATAATCTGGTCTAAAAGGCGGTAGATACCTCCTCATCAGCAGCTGTGTACCCTGCAATCTCCAGACATTTCTCAATGAAAAACTGAGTTTGCAGGGTTTGGGCTAAAGGAACTTTTTAGGCGCATACTGAAAATTTGGTGCTTCAGTAGTTGTAACGCCTCGTTGACATCTATATGTTCTCGCTTGAACCCATGCTGAAATGATAGGCTTGTCTCAAACAGGTATATATTATCCTCAACGAGAATTCGAGGAAGGGATGGGCGATGACTCAGACGAGTCAGGTCAACTAAAAGGATAAAACAAGAGGGTGAGATGTCCCAGTCAATAAGAAATGCAAGTTAAATGAGGAATCTCAGCCAGAAGGTATATCGTGTTTAAAACAAGTATTAAGTCCACTTTTGGCCCCTCAACTATTGTGTTGGTCTAATTTTAATCCTCAACTACAAAACCGTCTAGTACTGGTACTCCAACTGTCAAAACCGTTCACTTTTAGCACCTGACGCGAGGGCAAGGCTGTTTTGACCGACGTTGAGCGGTTTTGACCACGCGCAGGAGCAGGCCGGCCCAGGAGGGGAGGCCCAGGGCGTGCTGCACATTTTGCATAAGAGACCCTAGATTTTCATGAAACTAACCTTCACTCCATACTACTATTCACATGAGTCATAACATTTGTATTTAGCACCCATAAAAATCTCGTCTTCACCTTTGCCAGTCCCTGGGCGGCTCCAGAGCAGAGTACACCACATGGGGTGACGCCCGGCGGCCAATCCGGCCGGGAGGAGGCTCGCCGGCGGTGAGGGAGGGAGGCGCGAGGAGCGCGCAGCCCACACGCTAGGTCTGCAAGGCCACTGGTGCGCAGTTGGGGTAGCGGCGGGGGCAGAGCGCGGCTGCCC